GAGGGCATCTGGACCTGCAGATTTAAAAATGTCTAGCCCTTCCAGAAGATCCCTAACTACATCTGCACTGGCTGAAGGCCTGACAGAGCTATCCCCAAGATTGTCCCTACCTCTTGTAGGTGGGATATCCTGGTCCCTGTTCAGGAAAACAAAGGCAAAGAAACTGTTAAAAATATCAGCTTTCTTGTCTGGTGTGGCCACCAGATTACCATGTGCGTCTTGCAGGGGCCCTACATTGCCTGGTGCCCTCTTCTTGCTCCCAATGTACTTGAAAAAGGACTTTTTGTTGTCCTTAATCCTGGACACTAGCCTGAGTTCCATCTCTGCCTTGGCCTTCCTAATAGCCCTCCTACACTCCTGGGCCGAGGAGGCGTACTCCTCCTTGGTGATAGCTCCTACCTTCCACAGGTTGTAGGCCGCCCGTTGCTGAATGCCCTTGCTGAGCCAAGGGGGTTTCTGAGCACTCTTACCCCCCTTGCTTCTCTCAGGGACTGTTACCCTTTGGGCCTGGAGGATCACCCCCTTAAGGTACGACCATCCCTCGTGGACTCCCATCTCCTCTACCTTCTGGGCCCTTAGTGCCTCCCCCACTAGTCTCCTAAGCTATAATGTAACCTGGCAAAAATAGGCTATTGTGTAGCAATCGCAAGCTACATGAACCCCAATCTTAAAAGATGATAGAAATGTGAAATCACATATAAAGGGTAAGATAGAGCAAGAAAGGTTATATCCATAGGGAGGGACTGGGAAATCAGTCGTGTGATCATTAGCATATGGAGTAATATGGCATTAATATGACATTAGTAGTACGGCAAAGGACGTCACAGATATTTGGGAAATAATAAGAGCATAATCTGAACAAGAAAGGCCTGAACTTTATGGGATTTGTTTTTTCTCCCTATAAGGTAGATAAAGTATGAAAGGTAGAAACTAGAGGCCAGAGACCCAAAAACTTTTAAGTATAGGTGTGGTTTTGAGTTTCTTTGATTTGGGCTAGATGATCTCAATTATTCCTTCTGTTCTTAAAATCTATGAGCATGGACTGTGTTCAAACATTTCCCATTTCCAGATACCTTTTATTTCCTATTTTATTAATTCTGTTTTCCTTTGTTGGCCACATTTCTAAGTGGTTACATGGGACATAAAAGTCCCTTTACCATGTCCCTACTTTCTTTATTATGCCTGCAGATTTTCATACAAACTTTTTACTGATCTGTAATAACTAACTATAGATAGGACAAAACCAAGTACCTTTATATTAAGACAAAACAAGTACTGGGAGAAGAGAACAGCAGTCAGGTGCCTTAAATAGTATTGGTAGATACTCCTTTGCTTTCTGTTTGTATGGTCTCATTTTCATTGAAACTGAGGCATTTTAGTCAGTGTAGCTATCTTTAGTTTTTAATGAGTTCACTTGGACAATTAGCAGTTTGGAGCTCCGTGT